ATAGTGGAATCGTGACCACACGTCTGTGGCTGAATGCTCTTTCCAAGGGCACCGTCTGCTATGAAAGACATGCTCTTTGTCATCCATGCTAGGTGTGATACGTGTATGGATGAAATAGCTGGGTTCACACAATATTTTAAGTTGTATTAAGTTTAATCTGTGAAGATTTGTTAGTGTGAACAGAAAGCATGTCTGTGGCTGAATGCTCTTTCCAAGGGCACCGTCTGCTATGAAAGACATGCTCTTTATCATCCATGCTAGTTGTGATACATGTAGGGATGAAACAGCTGGGTTCACTCTACATATTAGTTCTATAAAATTTAATTTGTGAAGATTTGTAAGTGTGAGCAGGAAACATGTATTAGTAAGATACCTGGGTGATTACTCAGGTGTTTGTATGTACAGTGCGTCCCAGAAAAAACGAAACCGAGAAGTATCGATGTTTTATCATAACTTAATCACAACCATAATTAATGAATGATACATATTTGGAAAGCTTAGTCTCCTCTTTTAGTTGATGCTATTCACGTGATGCATATTTCACGCATGAGTGATTAAAAGCAATTTGAAGGAAGGAAACCAAAAAGTAATTTGGCGGTCGGTATCTGAATTTCAAAGAAAAATTCATATTTTTAGAAAGTTCATTTTCTGCTCTTTCATATGATACCTTTTCTGGGACGCACTGTACAGTAGACACAGAATGTTGAAAGTTCAGGCTGGGAAATATGCTGCAGCTGATCATGCAAACTTTCAAAATATTCTAATAGTAACAAGTCCCTTGCCCTTCATGAGCATGATATACAATATTTTTCTTTGATAGTTACTAGACAAGAATTTTTATGACCTGAAACCTTTGCAACATGTGTGTGTTAGCGTGTGTCAGCCATAACATGTATGGAGGCAAGAAAGTTTTGTGGATTGCTTAAATACATAGTTTCATGATCGTATGATAGTGAATTTAATCATGGTGTGAATACTTTTGCGAACCTTTACCACTCACAAAATTTGAAAAAGTTCTATGCTCGCAAAATTTCAAATTACACATCACCTACAAGAAAATGAAGTTCTTGAAGATTTGTATTATAAAACGACAGCATCTTCAATGAGAACACAACTATCTAGTCTAGTCTGCACACATGCCGTGCGCTCCTTCAGTTCCATTGAAGCTCTTTATCGGCCCCATTCATGGAACGAAGCAGCTTGGAGAGCGAATGTGGTCGGTATTGATCGGGAATCCTTTGTGGTGATTGAGGGCTAAGCTGTTGATGACCTTGAACATGTGCGGAGATGCAGACAACATTGATTGCAATGGCGGGAGATAAAGCCTTCATGTTTGTTTTTCACCATTCTGTGATGCTGTGTAAGATTTGTGTGTACTGTATGCGTGCGGCGATGAAAAATCATTTCAGCTATGAAATCAACAGATGATTATTATAGAATATTAAGGATGAGGGGAAAATCATATAAAACTTACTTCACAAAGTGTTCTCATCAGTACATTAGCTAGCATAATATATATTTATTTTGATTATAAATTCATCTTGAATTGTTACAAACTGTCTGTGTGATCTACACATCCTTTTTTTTTTTGTCTTGCTAAATTTTTGTTACATGAGGTTTTTCGTTATATTGTGTGTTTTACTGTTGGCTGTGTGACTGACCACAATTCTCGCTACCCTAAATAGGTACGAAAATCTCGAAATTCGCGAGACGAGGTAATTTTCACTCTCTCGGGTCGTCACTACAACTTCCGGTATAGAGTCCCATCCCGCTGGCGCTAGCGCCTGTGTTCTCCAATGAGACCAAAATTATTCCAGAAAAAGTATTTGGGATAGCCTTTGGCATAACCATCTGGATCAATCTGCTCCTTATCGAAATGTCTCGAACAAAGCCGCGATTTTTTGGTCAAATTCACTTTGTCCTTGCGGCGAATCAAGCGCAGCCATGTCGCTCGTGTTCCAGCTTCGGTGGGAAATTTCACCCAAGTCACGGCCTTCATCCACCCCCATTTTTCAGGGTTCTTACGCTTGGAATCATGAGCCCAGCACTGTGCAGCCTCACAAAAGAAAACCATCGTCACTGATGTCAAAAGACGCAAAAAACAACGAATGAAATGTTCAAATAAACGTTGAAATATTTGCGAAAAAAAACCAAGACCGAGCAGACGACATATTCGGTGCATACACGTTGTGTGGCGACGGCGTTTTACGTTTGCGCTATCGCGCCTAGTAATATAGCGCCTGCACAGGAAGCTGTAATGTCGACAAGCTATCCCATAATGCAATGCGCGTTTTCAGGATTTTCCCCGGATCTCGGCAGAATCGCTATTTGGGGTAGCGAGAATTGACAGGACGATGAGGCCAGTCTTGAATGGGATGATTACATCTGAACATTTCTGATGGATGGTTCTGAATCCATGTCGGTCGAGACACCAGAGCTTGTATTCCTTGTGTGTTTTCGTCACAAGACTGACAGGGGACGAGGGGGGTGATGAGAGATATTTGTAGGTTGACGTGCATACCGGGTACATGTATTTACCTGGCGAAAGGAGATACTGGTCAGACGCGAAGGTACGAGGAGTATATACTGTACATGTAGTGACCAGTCTGTCGGTCGTTGGATTGCATTTCAGTATCTGTCTACATAAGAATTGGAGTCAGAGTAAAGTGCACGGCTCGCTGCACGGTCTCTACCTGTTGGCCTGGATCAGGGCTTTGATTTGTCAAACTTTGAATTGTGAAATGGAAAAATGAACTGATTGACAGACTACTTTCATACTGGCTACTTGATAATGCATAATTCTGAGAGAATTGGACTTGCCTGTAGTTTTTCTTTTCTTGTATTTCATTGTGCACTGAAGCCAGTGTAATGTTGATTGTAGATGGTAGACCAGCATACTGCCTAATGTTTAGTCTTCTCTGTTTGAAAGCATGATGAGGCTTGATGAAATTGAACATTATTGAAACTAATGGAAATGCATCCAGTATTTTCTTTAGAACAGCTCAATATTTCAGTCTCTGTCATGAAATTTATGTCTCCTAGTCCTTGGTACTTTTTGTGTCTTCTTATACAAATCAAAATTAGTGATGTTAGAAAAACAACACAGAACTACACATTCCATTCGTATGCTCTGCTACAATACCACCAAGCAGTGCAGAGATGTTGTTTGGGCATTGAAATCTGTTTGCAAACTAACTTTATCAACTTGATTTAATGGCAAGATCAAACACAGGGTATGTTTGCCCTGGTTTATAAGCTCTTGTCAGATAATGGCTAATCTTGATAGGGGATGATCCTAGGAAATGAAAAGAATTAAAACAAGATTTTGTTGAGATGGAGCTCTCCTACTGTCAAGAAATCAAAAATCTGAAATCTGAAAGTACATGTATACACTTTCAAGATTAAGTTGGAGTTCTTGTCATGTGATTGCAATATTGCATTGTGAAAACATATATGTGGAAGGGATTGTAAAAGGCAGATCATGTAACCAGATAAGTATTTGTGTATACTGTGAGGTTTTTGGAATCATCAAAAATGATAAGAAATTGGCCCAGTTTTGCTTTAGGTCACATGTAATGTTAATGAGACTGTATATAGAAATGTGTAGAAGGGACTACATAAACATGTGGCATGAAGGTTGTGCAGGTCCACAACCGTTAGTTATAAATTGTCATATTTCTATAAATATTAGGCTGTTTGAAGAGCCATTCTTTTCTGGGGACATTTTCTCTATGATACTCTTCCACACTATTAAACATAAAAATTATTAAAAATGCTCCCAAATTATTTTTCATCTTTCCCATAAATCAACCTTCAATTCAATGCTTGTACTTGGCACTCCCATATGAATATTGCTTATTTTTTATTAGCCATTTTCCTTTCTTTTCCCTAATTTAGAGTTGTCCTTTTTATAGGTCTCACCAGATCATTGTGAAAATTCATTAATGTAGTGGTTAGATTTGCTCATAAAAATGTTTTGTAGTTGTAATTTTAATGAGCCTCCATTTTAATTTGAATGGCAATATGTTTCTGTCTTATTGAAAGCTATACCTCTTGGTATAATTGAATTCAATTTTATTAGAAACTTTCCAATATTGAGAAAACATGTGCAGTGTTTTAAATGAGGTAAATTAAACGCCACTGTAGCAGTATACAGCGCATGCCCTTGCCCTTCAATCGGAGTAGCATGCATGCTGCACCCTTTTTGTGTTCAGTACTTGTATGGAGGTTTGTCTGATTTGGGTGCTTTCATACAAAGTTGATAATTGTATACTCATATACACAATTCAAGGTTACAAATACATGTGCCTTGAAGAGCTTTTGTGGAGCGTTTTCTTTGTGTTCTCATTTTTTTCCATGGGCATGAAACTACAAAAAATAATTTGTAATAATGTTCTTGCATTGACCCAGTGTATGATGTGTGGACAAAATGACAGGTGGGTGTACATGCTTTTTTAAATGTGGAAACATCAGAGCAGTTCCTTATTTCACCATTACGATTTTCTCTGATGGAAGTATGGTATTGGTAAAGTGAAAATGACAGGTGTTTTACTATAGTAATGGTGGTGATGATGATGATGATGATATATGATAATGATATATGATGATGATGATGATGCTGGCGAATCGGTGATGGTGATGGTCATGATGATGAAAGTAAGAATGATGAGGATGGTAATGATTGTAGTTATGGAAACTAATATGATATTATGATGGTGATGTGGAGAATGTTCGTGGCGATGTCAACTTTTGCGATTTTCGGGTGTGACTGTGAAGACAGCTAGTAGGCTTACATACATGTATGATGGACTTACGGGTTTCTACAAATGATGGAACTAAGATTCCTAAAATGTAGCTTATAATATCTTGGTGACATAAATAACTCACCTTACAAACGTGCAGACACACATCCAGCAGGATGGCAGACCCGTAATCAAAATTATTACATTTATTAAATATTCACATTATAAAACAAATTAATTTCTTTCTTGTTTTCACAGGTTGGTAGATAACTGGTAGACAGACACACCCCACACACACACACAAACACACAGACACATCCAAGATGGCCGACACGTTACCCAACGAGCTGGAGGAAGCTCCTCAGAGTCCCGCCATGAACGGCAAGTCGTCCGGGAAACACCGTGAGATCGACAACCTGGACTTGGACGATCCAGAGGTCCAAAAGGACATGCAGAGACCGGCACACATCAAGAACGACATCAAAGAGATGGACCGTAACAAGCGAGTCTCGCTCATTCTAAACAGCGAAGCTTTCAGAGAAGAACTAGAAGCCATCATCGACAGTCAACTAAAGGTAAGACTCGCTTGCCAATTCACGCCCGGCCCAAGGGAGAAAATGTTATTTGCATGCTTGTATTTTCATGTTGCTGTATTTAAACCAATATAATCATTTAAGTTATATAATTTTCACCAAAATTTGTGATCACCAGCACCTTATTTTTTAATGTCAGATTTGCATACTGATGATATTCAAATCTATCATGGGATTTAGTTTATATTTGATTGTTCTTGAAGGTTTACAGTCATTTCCTCTCTTCAATAGTAGAACATAATGTATTTAGGGCATTGGCCTACATGTATTCATGTATGTCACTTTACAAGTCCCCCTCCCCCCTAAAAAGAAATGTTTTTGTTGAAAAGGGAGTAAAATAGTGGTAATCTTGAGCTAGAGTGTTAAACATACAATACAAATTGCGAGAGGAAACGTTGCCTCTCCACCGAAGACATGTAGGCACTTCCTATGTATACGTTCCAACTTATTTGATAGAATAAGTAGTGTAGCATTCATAAGACCATTATTACATTGTATAGCATGGTTACACATTTAATAACCAGCCTGAAAATTCATACAGAATTGATTCAATATGTGCACAGTCCGCTCGTTATATTTACCCTCCAGCCCACTCATATTCAAATTCTGAGACAGGTAAACCTGTGAAGTGTAATGATAGATCAAAGTCTGAAAACCTATTCAGGAAACAGCTACATATCTTTCTCCAGACAATACCTTCCCATTTCAGTATCAAATTGATTTATGAACCCAGTAAATACTAGCACCATCTTGAAGTCTAAAAGTCATACTCTCCCAGTATTTTGTTCATAAAAATAAAATTAAAAATTATCGTAGCAATGATACAAGGTTATATTCATTACTACCAAGCAGTCTGCAAATGAGGTTGAATACATTGACAAGAACAGAGAGATACTCATGGCTAGGGAAATTCTATCTAATAACTGTACTTAAAAACAGAGGGACTGTTTCATCTAGTGAAGGAAAGGAGGGGGGGGTACAGAAGGGTTCAAGATCAAGATAAATACCAAGCAGATGGGGTAAGGTTACATCTCTTCAGATTTTATTTACGACATCTGCAATCTATCTTATATTCTGCTTTAATAGAGCCAGAAAGGCATAAACTAATGGTCTTTCGCTTCTAGTCAACGTCTTTCTGGTTACACTTGGTTTTTCGGCCTCCAGATGCATATGAGAAAGATAATATGCGAAGAGATGTTGATATCCAGTCTGTCTATGCTCATTATGATCAGTGAGTGGCCCGAGTGACTCGTATGGCGCCATTGAAATTAATGATTTGGAGCAAATAGAAGGAGATTCGAGAGACAAAGTCCTGACATTTAGAGGGGAAAAAATACGCTGGAATGATGATTGTAGAGCTCTGAATTGGTGTATTATGGAACTGTTAATATAATGTCCTATTTCAGTATTTTGAAATTTGCATATATGGAAAGAAAGACAATGGAGTGTAACCGTATAAATATTGTGCACTTTTTTGGTTTGTTGCATTTCTCAGCAAAACAATAGCAGGGTGATTAAGTATTTACTGCAATCATAGATTGTATTCCATAAAGAGTTTCATATTATCCTATTTTATTGCTTTCAAAACAAAATTCCTGATGGTTGTTTTGACTTCCAAAGTACATTTACATGTCGGTTGGCATTCTTACATGGCATATGATCCCACATAAGACTTACAAATAAAAGGATTTTGAATGGTCTGCAATGTCAGTAGTAGATGTAGATTTGAATAAGTAATTTTGTAAAGGCTCGTTGAATAAGTATTTTTTACTTGCATACATGCACACATACATAATAAACAAAATAATTTACGATAACATTCTCAAATAGCATTAGCGGAAACTTTCTTTGTCCATTCTTCAAAGTTATGAAACTTACTGGTTGTCCTTAACCCGCACGTATTATGAGATATTTCCTGTCCCTATCCAAACTATTACAAATATTTTCCTGTCCGTTGATATGCCATACCTGTACACAGACAGTTGTAAAGGAAACTGAAGGTTACCAGGGAGTTTCGTAATTTCCCCTTGCTTCACCTCACAGGCATCCCTAGCCGGACTATTAAACCTGACTATTAAACCGGACATTAAATCCTGTGAAGGTGGCTTCAGGATATGTCCAATTTATCGGTGTATTTTTCAGATTTCCACAACATCCTGATAGCATTAGCAGCTATTTGTTGTGATCTGATACAAATTTTTGATAATGGTTTTCTGGAGTAGAAAGTATGGGTTCTGAGCAGTTGTGTCTCAATGATGTGCTGTAGACTTGACCTTACAGACATCCCTGGTCGGACTAGCCGGACATCAGATACTGCGAAGGTGGCTTCAGGATAACCCTGTAAGTTGGGGCTCTGATCGGATCGGAAGATCGGAGCGACACCCTCGCACCTTTGATCGGTATCGGATCGGAAGAGCGACAAAAAAAATCGGCCGATTTTTTTTTTTTTTTTTTTTTTTTTTTTTTTTTTTTTTTTTAATGATGAAAATTTTCAAGTTTTTGGCTATCAAATGCTTAAAAAAACTTCATGGCTGGGATTATTTTGTCATTTAGAGTTGATGTAGACCATGTTTGTTGATATTTTGTGCCTTTTCATGACTTTGAAATTAATAATGTTGGTCTAAGAGCAGAGGCAAAACATGCGGGCCGCCATCTTGGATTATCAATGTAGGATAGGTATTTTTTTTTTTTTTAATGCCGAAAATTTTCAAGTTTTTGGCTATCAAATGCTTAAAAAAATTCATGGCTTGGATTATTTTGTCATTTAGAGTTGTTGTAGACCAGGTTTGTTGATATTTAGTACCTTTTCATGACTTTGAAATTAATAATTATTCGTCTAAGAGCAGAGGCAAAACATGTGGGCCGCCATCTTGGATTATAATGCATACCTACATTATAATCCAAGATCCAATCGCATGTTTTGCCTCTGCTCTTAGACCAATAATTATTAATTTCAGAGTCATGAAAAGGCACAAAATATCAACAAACATGGTCTACAACAACTCTAAATGACAAAATAATCCCAGCCATGAATTTTTTTTGAGCATTTGATAGCCAAAAACTTGAAAATTTTCGTCATTAAAAAAATAAAAAAAATACCTAGTCTACATTATAATCCAAGATGGCGGCCCGCATGTTTTGCCTCTGCTTTTAGACCAACATTATTAAATTCAAAGTCATGAAAAGGCACTAAATATCAACAAACATGGTCTACAACAACTCCAAATGACAAAATAATCCCAGCTATGAATTTTTTAAGAGCATTTGATAGCCAAAAACTTGAAAATTTTCGGCATTAAAAAAAAAAAAAAAAAAAAAAAAAAAAAAAATTCTGCCGATTTTTTTCCGATCTTTTTAATTGATCGGCGATCAGAAATTATTATCCGATCACCCCTGATCGGATCGGTATCGGCGGCCGATCCGATGATCGTTTACAGGGTTACTTCAGGATATGTCTAATTTATCAGTGTATTTGTCTGATTTCCACAACATCCTTGCTAATAGCCATTTGTTGTGAACTAATCTGATAAAAAGATGTGATAATGGTTTTCTGCAGTAGGAAGTGTGTATACCCGTAGGTTCGTAGCAGTCGTGTGACTTGTGTCTCATTTAGTAGTCTTATCAGTTAATTTGATTTGCAGACTAGACAGGTATAGGCATGATAAGGAGGGGGCGTGAGGGTAAGTTATGAAAATTAGGGCAAATACAATGAAAGAATACCTAAATGCATGTTGAAATAGGACCTGTACATTCTTGATAAAAATGAAGCGATTGACAGTGAAGCATTTCTCTTTGTAAGTCAGAAGTTTTCAAAAGCAGTGATGCATATTATATTATAGGCCTACATGTTGTGATACCAAGATAATTAATTTTTGAGATGTAACTTGGTGAAGGTTATAAAGTTTTGGTTACTGTCACAAATCATGTGATTCAATTTCTACATTTGTACACGAAATGCTCTAGGCAAGACTTCTGTTCTGCAAGGGAGATTATTGTCCATTGACCATCTGTCTGCTAGCATTCTATCAAACATAAGAAAGGGACACAATAACAGAAGGACAAATTGGAGACATTTCATTGTGGGATTTCATGGGAAGATAGTCATTTTTGGAGCTTCCCTGGATGTGGGTAAGGGATGACCCTGTGTTCTGTTTGTTGGCTGTTTATCAGACCAGTGAAAACAGAACGCTGTGATTGTCGCTCAGGTGCTAGCTGTGGTGGGAAATACTTGATGAATGAGTCAGACCCGTGGCCAGAGAATATTGTGATTTTAAAGGTGCTAGTCAACATTGAAGGATATAATTCAGTCCAAAGTACAATATGCAGAGAGATAAATAAATAAATAAGTAACATTAATGAAGCAATAAATAAAATAAATTAATGGATAAATAAACTGATCTAACTAAGTAATAAATAAGTAAGTAAAAATACAATTAAAAATCTAGCAAAAAACAAACAAAATAGAAACTACCACCAAATGAAATTTCTCTTTATAATTTGATTTGTAGATAATTGTGGCACATTTTACAGCTTGGATGTTTTCTAATTGCAATGAGGATTGTTTTTTCTCTCCCAACATTGTGGGATATGTTTTTAATCAGGGATGAAGCCTTATGAAATCATCTTGAAAGCTTTGGCCATCAGGGTGTGCACGAGGCTACATTGTAGATCATCTTGAAGGCTTTGGCCTTCACAGTGTGAAAAGGATTAGGTGTCCAATGCTATTTCTGAAATGGAACAGATAATTTATAAGTCTGTACCACAAACACAATCCCTGTAGGCCTACATATAAATGTATGTTTGATGTCTTCATAAGCTACTATTTCCTTCCTAACGATTTCTGAGAAACCATTTTCAAGGGAAACAAAAAATGTGGTCTTTGTAGACAGATGGTCACTAAAGCAGGTTTGACTGTATCAATTGGCATGGAGTCTGTGAACCAGACTACACGTTTATGTTTTGGGTCTGGAGGCCAAGCCTAA